ATACACCTTGGAAAAATATCCATCTTTATCTCTTGCCGGTGATTTTTCTTATTAAATCGTTTCTTTCGTGCCTTTTCCTGCAATGGTGCAGGCAAACACGCATACAGGTAAATCGTTGCCACGCATGGAACCTCCGCGAAACCACACACAAACACATACACAAAAACAACAACAACGAAACCCCTCATTCGCACCTTCTATTCCCTTCCTCCTCATATACACACTGCTACAACGGCAGTAGCGTGCAAGCTTGCAACTACAGATCAAATAGGAAGAACAAAAAACAAAGGAAGGGCCATACCATTATATACATTTGTTTTCATTGTGTGGATGTGTCATTGTTACTTCTCTCCGCCCACCTAGCGAGTCACTCACTTACGTTATTCCATCACTGCGTTAAAACTGAGGGACCAAATTCATTTCCTTAGCCGTTGCCATCACATCTCTCTCTCTCTCTCTCTGCGTCCGCACTTCATTGCCCATCCCATCTTGCAAAACTTACAGAAGTGTCTTCGCCTGCGTCCAGTGGATCATTGCCCGTGGGGGACTTACAGATCTAGCGTCATAATTCCGAATATAATCAAGACGCGAAGTCTCAAACGACAGCGGCTTCTCTGGTAGCTGCGACGACCACGATGGCGGCGCCTCATCAAATTTTGTCCGGGTCAAACTGACAGGGTCAAACCACTCCGCGTCCCGCATTGCTGCAATCGCAATTGAAGGAAGAAGTACTGGCATTTCTTTGCTTGCAGGAAGTGAAGGTAAACCCTGAGTGGTGCACGCTTCCCGTGGCTGTTGCTGCGTCTGATCCATCGAGTTTGACCTAATAATTCCTTCCTTCTCATCCTCCTCTTTGGACTCCTCCTCACGCACATGCTTGAGTTGGTACGCTGGTCCACCATCCTTGCCAATCACAAGTTGTCCAACATTCTCCGTAAACCCCAGCAACACCCGGTCCGCATGATCCGTAAAGGAAACATTCTGACGTTTCGGCGTTTGTTCAGGTGTCAGCGGCAACAATCTTGGCTCATCTTTACGCCATAAACTCCGTGGAACAGGAGAGAGCTCCGTCACGTAACATTGGGATCCTAATTCACCCATGTGGTGCCCTGTTGTTAGGGCAGATGCCTTCTCACTGTCAAGTATTGCAGTACGGCGGACCTGCTCCTCACTAAGGGCGCGGCGGAGATTCTCTGGTACTTCATTCAATTTCACCTTTCCCTTCGCCACTACGCTGCTGACCCCATCCATCACTTTCGCCACGTGTTTACTGTCTTTCGCGATGACGTCTTCAATATTCACACGCTTTTGAAAAGGTTTAATGCGTAGATCAGAAACACGCAAGCTATGTGCTAAGTCAACGGAGATGGTTTTGGCGGCCTGATATTTTGAACTTCGTGTTGAGGTTAAGGGGGGACGGTGACCTGGTATGGAGTAGCCTTCTCTAAGGAAGGCACTCTCTGCAAGTTTTTTCAAGTCTGTTTTATTGAGTGACTTGAACTCGCCAGTATGTACGTTAACCACACTGGGGTTAGGCCGTGGTGGTTCAGTATCCCCATTACACAAAAATCGAAACCCATCGGAGAAGTCAAACATGTGGTTGTAGGTTAGGGTTAGGGCGTCCTTGTTAGCCTTACGCGGGATGTAGCAGCCTTTGCTCCGATGATTGTAGTAGATGTAGTCCTCTCCCCTCTTGGGAAATCCGTGTCGAGGATCGCGCCGTCGCATCTTCCGCTCATAGCAAAGTTGCAGGTACAAGTCATGACCCATCACTGCCTCTTCTCGCCCCAAAGTGGTGCTCATGGGTGATGCCTGCATGAAAAACGCGGAGCCCCTTCTGTATTTGGTCCCAAGAGAGCCATGTGTTTTCGTCGTTGCCCGCAGACTCACTTCAGGACTTTTAATTGTGCAGCCACGTATTCCGTCCAGTGAAGGATTCCGCGCCGCCCACATTTGGATTGTACTCCCCTCGTCCGTCATCTTTGAATGTGGATCTAAGCTTTCATTGTAGAAAGTGGTTATGGCACCATCAGCAGCAGCAGCAGCAGCAGCAGGGCCGGGAACGGCGGTGGTGTTCGCTGCTTCCTCCCTTCTTGCGACACCTTTTTTTCCCACAACGGGCAAATGCGTTTTCCCGGGGGAACTTGGCTGGTCAAAACGACTTCCAGTATCCCCACGTATATTTGTGAGGTTGTTGACCTCAATCATGTTCCTTCCCACACACCCACTGAGCCCTCTCTTACGTTCCCGCCTGCTCACAAAGAGAAGGACGTAGGCCACCTAGTTCCTAGTTACCGCCACCTCCCCCTGAACTTTTCCACGCAAACAAAGGAAATAAGGGTAAAGCGGGGTCAAACAGAGACACAAACCAAGAAAAAAAAAAAAAGTTGGCCACCCCCCCGAACGAGAGCATCCATATGCAACAACAGGTTGATACATCTCTCAATCATAGTCGAGCTCCAACGATATCGGTGTCCGTTCCATTTTAACACATGCACAAAAAAAAAGCGCTCTGCATAGGTGTGGTATATACATCATAAACTCCGCCGATGGCGTTTTCTTCTCACTCAATGCCTTTGAACATCCGGCCGCACAGAATGCGGAAGGTAAAAAAAAAAAACTAACAGGATAAAAAAAAAACATCACAACCACCGTTGTGTACAAATAACTCCATCTGAATTCCTTAGAGCTTTGGTAACAGCTGCACAAGGCGGATATCTTCCAGCCTAGCTTGGGCTACCTCGGCTTTTCTACGCTGCTCAGCAAGCGTAGATCCCTTTTCTAAATCCGGAACGTTAATGGGTTGACGGCATCCTCCCATATACATACCACGCATCCGTGTCTCATCCGCGGATGGCGAGAAAAACGCCAGAAAAGTCAAACGCGAAGGCTCAACCGGGGTAGAAGCTTCAACAGAGGATTTCTTTTCCTCCACAGGTCGTGAGGCAGAGCTGGACGAAGCCTCCACTGGAGGAGCAGCTGCCGCAGCGTCACCGTGTGTGGAAGGGGGTTCACCGCTGCAGAGCAAATGGTAAAGACCCAAGTCCGTGGGGCGATGGTCGGGCATACCACAGACATGCGCCTTTCCAATTCGTTCTCTGGCCGCCTCGCGATCACGCCGCTCCATCATCGCCTTCAGCCCCGGCCCGCAAACCACATGATTGTATACGCCAAGTCCTCGACGCTGCCGAGGACGCAGCAAAGCCTCAGGTATCGGTGGGTCTAATTGACGCAGCGACGGTAACCAGACCTTCTCAGCCGCACGTTCCTCCTCAAAGTGCCTTTTACCACCTCGCTCAGTGTCCAACACGTAGTTGCTATTGTGATTGTCCCGTTGGAGAAGCGTATACCGAACATGGTTGTTAATGTCTGCGGGTAAAACGGGTCCATGTCGGCCCAACCCACATCCCGGCACGTGAAGATCTGTCATGAGTGAACTCTTGTTGATTGGTTGTGGTGCATACTGCCTTCCTAGGTGCTTGCGGCGACAGCCTGGATGATTGCCTGGAATTGTATTGTCGCCATACGGCGTTGCATACGCGGAGTTACAAAAAGCAGTAGTTATGTCATCACGCTTCTGCGGTGGCATCCCTCCTAATCGGTTTGAGACGGGTTAAAACTTCCCTTATTTACTCCTCTACCTCCCTACAGTTTCGCGTAAGGCGTGGTTCTCTATACGGTGGAAAGAATACCATAAACTGCTATAGAGAGCCACGCAAACAAGGTGAATGAAGTCATAAAAAAAAGAAAAGAGGATTACACCAAACAAACACATGTAAAGTTCTTATTTCCATCAGTATTATATATATATATAGATATATATATATCTTTTTCTAACTGACACCGTTGCGCGCCCATCAATTTCCATCCTGCTACCACATGAAAGCGTGTACCCCCAAGACAGTACAATTCCGGCCCGCAGCATTTCCACAACTCCCTCCCTGTCGCCTTCCCACACGAAGACACAAATATTCATCCCCCTCCCCCCTTTTTTTTTCCGCATACAACCCTTTGCTATTCATCCCTAATCAGCCGCTATACTCATGCTGCACTGCTATTTAATCAAAATCCCATCTGACGCAAGGATGGGAACGCCAGCATCTCACCATGACCAAACAAAGACGGCTTCGAACCCATGGCAGTCTCCTTAACTTGTTTCAACTCTACAGGTGTAACACCTCGAATAGCATCAAGCAACTCCTCTGGCTTCATGTACTGCGTTGAGCCCTGCGCCGTCGAAGTAAGCGGCAAACTGGTACCCATGTAGTCGCATAGATCACGAACGGTGTTCCAATTTCTATCCATGGCCTCCACAGCAGCGCGATGCTTTGCTGTCTCCACAGCTGCTGCATCGTCCAACTTCACCGCTTGCATATTCCGCATTGCCGCCGTCACCATATTTACAATATTCTCAGCCCCAGACCTTGCTGTAAAACCAATGAGGCCCGCGCTCTGGTATGGAAGGTAGAAGGAGCGTACTCCATTGCTGGACCCACCAAATGCACCATGAAGACTATCTTGGGCAATAATATTGCACAGCTGCTGGTACACGAGGGACGCGGCATGGCGCTTAATTGAGGTCATTCCGCGACCAAATGAGAGGTAGCCAACAGCAACAATTGTTTCGGTATCCATATCTGGCTTTGTCCCCATCTCTTTAGCGCGATTTTCATGCTCATGTGCCTCACCACCAGTATACTGATTTTTCTCACTGTTGACATCAAAAACAGTAGCACCGTTCTTCTTCGCAAACGCGGCATGGTGTGGAGCGTTGATGGTGTGTGGGTAGGGTGTATTTTCATACTCGGCGATGAGCTCATCATGGTTAACATTCACACCAGCAATGACAATGCGATCAGGAGTCACGTACTTGGCGTACTGGTCCAAGAGAACCTTATTTGTGATGTTACCATTGTTATCTTCTGGTACGTGCCGTGGATTGCCGAGTGGTTGATTATAAAATGCAACAGTCTCCAGTCTCTGAATGGCATACTCCTCGGGCTGTTGCCACCTCATCTCCTTTAGATTGTTATCCACCGTGTCACGGAAGCGTTCAATGTCCGTCTCATGGAACCGCGGGGCGGCAATGGCAGTGAAGATTGTGTCCTGCACGAGATTTAGTGTGAAATGGTTATTGTCACCTTTTTTGCTGGTCTTGTGGCTCCGCCACATATCCGCGCGTGCGTCCAGGCGGAGGCAAATAAAGTGCTTGTCCTTCTCAAAGTGAGAGAAGGCGGCCCCCGTGCTCCGAATCCCGCGATCCAGCTGAAAAAGGGAGTTGTTGTAGTTGCTCGTCGTCAGAGCGAGGTGGAGGAGGCTGTGCACACCTGGGCACCCCACTGGGTCGTACGCGGGTCCCGCGAGAATGTAAGCGCCAATAGACACCATCGCACCATCGCGCTGTTGCGTGATGACGCGAGTACCGTTGTGCAGCTGAGAAACCCTCACCTTCATCTCTTGATCAGACAAACGTTTCGGCAGGGCTGGAGGAAATAGACGCGAAAAACGGCTCCAGGGCCTTGTCAGAGGCGCCTGTCCAAACTTATACTCTGAGATTGTCCGCATTTGTGCGGCGGCAGCGGCACTGGCAGTGGCCGCTACTGCTGCGGTGGCGCAAGCATTGACGCGGCGATACATTACTGCTGCTGCCCACTACCGAAGACAACGTAGGGAGCTACAAGTTCCTTAATCCAATGAGTTCTGCAAAAAAGCAAACACCAACAATGAATAAGACGCAGTTGTGTATACAGGCAAATAAGATGAAACCCACATCAAAGAATGATATGATAACAGGGCAAAGCGAGAGTGTCATGCATACATTTGCATTAGAGAGAGGAGGTAAAGGAGGTAAGAAGAGCGGCATATCCATTATGAGGAAAGAAATGCAGAATGTACAATGACAGTGCTACATTGAGAGCTTTTGTTTCTCTATGTGTTCGCTTACAAGGAACGTAAGCAGTAAAAAGTACGAGAATGTAAATGCACACGCACCAACAGCAAGAGAGGTCGAGTCACATACACATACACGCACACATACACCTCTCACCACCACCGCAGCAGGGTGGTTGGTAACATCATTACCAGAAGCCGTTTAAGGACGTCACAGGGAATGCGGGTAAGAAGTGGAAGCATCACACGGAGTTCAAGAGATCCCACACCAATTAGGTAGTTTTTCCATTCTCCTCTCTTTTACTTTCTTCCCCACACCATAACTATGCGCATGCAATTCGGTGAAGAAGAATAAAGAGGGGTAAGTAGATAGAATAATAATAAAAAAAGAATTAAAACATAGGCACAACTCCCAACCATTTCACTGACACAGATAGAAAGATAGAGGGGCATATATATATATATATATATATGTCTTACATCACTGTAAAGGTCCACCGCCATGTTTCTTGCGGCACCTAACAATAAGACACATCCCCCTCCAAGTTATGCCTCCAAACTACGGAATATGCTGGTAGGACTATCCGCACCTCTCTTAAAACAAAGAAGAAATGCAAGAACACTATCTAACACTACGCTCATTCAAATTCCCTTCTGCAGACGATAGTTGTTGTCATCGGAACTTTAATCGTTAACTTGTGCATTTTAGATTCTCACTACACAGGCGTATATATATATATATATATATACAAACCTATGTCAATGTCTCTCCCTCGCCATACTTCCAAAGAGCTAGATAAAAGATGGGGCCACCTCTCTAGCACTCCATACAGAGTGGACCACAACCTACGTGAAGCACTGCAAAGGTGTGTGTCTAAGTATTTGCCAGAAAAAAAATGTCAAGCCCATGCGCAGTAGAAACGTGCTTCAAGCCATCATTCCAAACCACATAAATGTACAAAGGAAACTGTGCGCCCTGCCACTCTCCTCAGCTCATGTATGCTTCCCTTCCTGGCTTCTCGAGCAACGGCCAATTCCCTCACGGACATGAGGAATCAAGGGAGAAAGGTAGAAACAAGTAAACAAAAAAAAAGGTGTTAATAGCGCAGGTAATTCTTGGCAGAAGAGAGAAAAATGCCTATGTCTGTGGAGGCCTCATTCTGCATCTCGTGGCTTTTATATGTAATGCATACATGAGCACTTTTTGTGAGTCTCATTTGGCTTAAAAAAAATATGGAAAAAAACAAAACAAAAAAAGTTCTTTGTTTGATTGGATTCTTTTTTCCTAACGTTTCTTGCACAACCCCTGCCTTCGTTCTTGTATTAATGCGGTGTTGATGTCAACTCGTTATTTTTCTTCTTCATTTTGTCCTTCACTCCTTTTTCGTCTCAAATATTCGTCCCATGTGTTTTTTTTCCTTGTATTACCATTTCCGTGTGTGAGTGGCGGTGGTGGTAATTGTGAGGGAGCTGCATTTTTTTTTTTTCGTTCTTTTGTTATTGTTGTGTTTTTCAGTGTGTTTGTATGACTGTTTGTTTCCTTTTTTCTCTTTCCTCGTTCTGCCCTATGACTATAAGAGTAAGTAAACGCCTCTCCGCCCAGCGCGATGTTTGCCTCTGTCTTTCCCCAACAGCTACAGTTACCTCCCCCTTATTATTATTATTATTTTTTTTTTCATCGTCTCTATTTGGTTTTGTGTGGTATATATATATATACGTTGTGATGTCTTTTTTTTGTTGTGTGTGTGTGTGTGTGTGTGTGTGTGTGTGTAG